AGTTGGGGTCCCCCAGAGAGCAACACAGGGAGGATGCTGTTTCGCTGTAGCCAGAGTCCACCACACTTAATGTTGGCACCCAGCAAACAACTCGGGACCTGAATACCAAGCCCTGCCTGGCAGTTCCGAGCTAGGGGCCGTTTCTAAGCGACCTCGAGGGGATGGGCCTGAAGAGCAAAGTGCTGGCCTGGCCCAGCTATGAAAAAAAATTGAACAAAATAAAATAAGTCCTCATTTTATCCTCAGTGTCTTCCCACCAGAAGGGACCGTCTTCCCTGAGGGCTGAGACTGGGTCGCAGAGGGGCTGGGCAGCCTTGGGGGTCACAGCTTCCGCACACAGCGTCTCTGGTCGTCCGCCCTCATCTGCCCCTGAGATCTGGCCTGGCTGCAGGGTCTCCAGGAATGGCTCAGGAGTCGAACTGATCGCACCGGGAAGGGAGAAGAGTCCTGGCATTCAGCTAATAGTTGGGGGTGTTGTTGTTAGGGGATTTATTTTGTTTTCTTTTTTTGTTTTTGTGAGGCTGGGGGTCAAGGTCAGGGGCTCCTGCATTCAAGGGCTCTACCACTGAGCCACATCCCCAGCCCAGCTAGGACTGCTTAAAGAGGAACTTTTAATAGGAACCCCCGCCCCCCCCACTAGCATTTTAAACAAAACCCCTCTCTTTGAGCTCTTACTCTCTTCTCTGAAACCCGCACATGTGGGGGGGGGGGATTCCTGTAATATGAGCACCTGGGAGGCTGAGGCAGGAGGAACCCTGTGAGTTTGAGGCCAGCCTGGACTATATAGTGAGACCCTGTCTCAAAACACCAAAAAGAGAAAAAGCAAACAGCAGGTGAGCTACCTGGTCTGGGGGCCACTTCAGCTTCTACCCCCTACTCTGGGATCATGATGAGTTTTTCAGGGAATTCAACGGGCTGAATTCCCCTTTATAACCTGACCTAGCAGGTCCAAGGGAACAAAGGAGAGACTCATCTGGGGCCTCCTGGCGGCTCTTCTCCAGGGCCTCTGATGGCCCTGACCAGGCTCGTGGAGGCAGGCCTAGAACTTGGGGTCCAGATCTGTGTACTCCCTGCTTCAGGGAGGTATGGTGGCACCTTCCTGTAATGCCAGCACTTGGGGAGGCTGAGGCAGAAGAATCTCAAGTTTGAGCCTGGCCTGGGAACTCAGTGCCAAAGTGAGACACTATCTCAAAACAGAAGAGCATGAAGGGGGCTGGGGATGTAGCTCAGGGCCAAGGTCCTGGGTTCAGTCCCTGGTCCAAATAAAAAAAAGGAAAGGGAAGGGGAAGAAAGGGGAAATAAAGGTCAGTGTGAAGGCCTTGATTACAACACACACACACACACACACACACACACACACACACA